GTGACTGCGAGGAAAATATGAAAGCACTTGCTGACAAATAGTGCTGTTAATACCAGAAGGGATGTATTGAACTGACACGGATTGTTGTAATTTTGTATGAATTTTGCTACAATCTATGGTTGCAAATAAATGTATATACATACATCTTGATCATAGATTGATTTTGCTCTGGTGTAGACAGTACTGAATGTCTGTTGAAGAGAAATATGAAAGAACAGTTGAGATTCAGTCCGTTTGGGAACAGAAAACCACAATAAAGGGTAGCAAAATACCGCAGGGTCTCATCTGTCCCCCAGTGCTACAAGATGGAAGTAACTTTCTCATTTTTTTATAAGATTTCAAACAGTCCAAAACGAATTTGGCTTACTGAAGTGATAAAACTACTGCAGGGCTGTGCTCAACCACAGTAGATACTGTAATTCAAGGAAGGTCTGTGACAGAATAAATTGAGTTTTTTTACTTTATTCTCTTTGGCTAGTAGATATTTGTTCATAAGGTACTATAATAAACAGAAGAAACCAAGGCCATCTACAAATTCAGCTTAAAAAGCTACATAGCTTTGCATTTTGTGTGTCAGTGTTAGGAATAAAAAAAGTAAAGCCAATTTCCAAAACTGGCTAAAGTCTCAGTTTTGAAAACAATAAAGAATGTAATTGTTAACTCTAGCTTGCAAAGCTATAACAAGTTCATATGGACATCCAAGAATACAAAGGGAGAGAATATATGTTGCAATGCAAATTATATTCCTTATGTATTTGCTACAGTATTAGTGTATGTTCAAAAGGGTGGAGCTTGTGTCATGATAATTTTGGCATCATTATCGCTAGCTGCAAACTCCTCATTAAGTCTATCAAAGCCTCTGATGTTGATCCTTGCTGTATTGTTTTTGATGCAAGCAATAAGAAATGTCTTTGTTGACATTAGCACCTCTGCTTTCATAGAACCAAGGGAAAAAATATGAGTGACCTTTAAAAAAATACTACTTCACTGTATTTGGAGGATACAATAAAATGTACATGGTTTTCTCAAATTACTGTTAACATTCTTGAGAAATTTTCTCCAGTTAAGTTTAAGACACTGCTTCAGGTACCAAATGCATAGTATCCCTTTGTAGACAATCAAATATTTTGATTTGGTTGGAGATTTAATAAAAAAAAGTGAACAAGAGCAAAGTGAAAAGATACTGAGATGCTCATGTCAACTTTAAAAATGAGTATGGCTGTAGCCATCTTCCTTATTCATTTTCAGTTGACACATAGAAAGGAGGGAGGGGGGATTTCCAGGTGCTTCACTAGTCTAAATAAACCTTTATCATTTGCTGCTCCTGAGACTGCAGGCTGGGCATTTCGTGAAAAGCCCACCAAGAAGATGTATTGGGGAATGTAGTTGCTTGCATAGCTTTAGAGATGGGATTTCTTAACTTTGTATTGGGGAATTGTTACGTGGGTCTTCAGACTTGGTTTCACTTTTGATGTGCTGATACTTTATAACTAATAAACATGTTCTTCAAGGATTTGCAAGCCTTGGAGTTCTGCTTTATTTGTCTCTGTCTGTCGGAACCATGACAGCTCAACTGTCTGGTAAAAAAGAGACTTTCCTGGCAATCAAATAAAATCAGTGTTAGCTGCTGGCTCCTCACAACTGTAAACAGACAAAATGGAGTTATAGCGACAAAATTGCCACCATAGACTTAAGTAATCAGCTGAAGACCTAGCTAAAGGCACAAAATGTATACTAATAGTTCTCATGAACTATTGACTCTTTCACAATTATTTAGCTGATAACAGGACCAAAAGTATAAAGAATAAAGGATCATCAAAAATATAAAGTATATTTATAACTTTTTTTCATCATAACTTTTTTCTGTTGCTAAATTGTGTCCATTTGTTGGACACTGCGTAGGCAAGCACCTGAGTTTTCTTGGCAAGATTTTTCTAAAGGGGTTTGCCTTTGCCTTTTTCCTAGGGCTGGGAGAACATGATTGTCTCAAGACCACTAGTTGGGCTTGTGGCTAAGGCAGGACTAGAACTCACAGTCAGCTAGTTTCTAGCCTGATGACTTAACCTCTGTATCAAACTGGTTTTAATAACTGTGACAAAAACAACAATAACCTTCAATGAGGCACTGCTTTGATGTATTTGTAGGACTTGCATGCTCTGAGGAGGATGAGAGTTATGCCAGAAGTTCAACATACTGGATAGATTTCATCAGAGGAGCCAAGCAAAGAGTGTTCTTCTATAAACAATATGGTAGTTTGTAATTTACAGAAACCTGTATCATATAGGTTATCACCTGAATCAATAAGGAATGTTCTAGTGTTGGAGTTCCTGGATGTTTGGTGACAATTGAGCTGTGGAACTGTTGCCTGTACAACCAAGGTCAGCAGCTACGGGACTACTGAGGAGAAGTTGTTTGCCTGTTTCAAACATACCGAGTCCAAAAACAAAAAATAATATTATTATTTCAAATCAAGTCCAAGAAGAATATCAAAAAAGAATGGATCAGTTCTGAAATCAACAACATCCAGAATCAGAAATAACAGAGGGTAGCAGATCAACATCAATTTATAATACAAAATAAGTATTGACAGAAGCAGAACTGCAAAGGTCTACCCAGGACAAAGAAATTGAAGCCTTGTCAGAAGTAGTTCAGATTGTAGAGGCAAACCAGAGAGAGTCAGTAGTAGAAAAGGCTAGAATAGTTTTTGAATCATTTACATTCCCAATCCAGGCACCTTCTTCTCAGAAAAAACAAAGCCCTCTAAACTAAAAAACAAGATGAATTGAAACAAAAATAACTGAGCATCTAGAACAGCACAAAAACAACAGAATAAAGTTGTCTGCATTGAAGCTTTTTACAAAAAAGCACAAGCTAGAATATCACCTAGAAACAAGGGAACTCAAGGAAGCACTGGAAACAATAAAGCAAAAAATAGCAGCCATAATCAAGAAGATTAGCAGATAGAAAGCTGAAATTGGACACTGTAGGTAGTGCCTCCAATTTCTATCAACCCATCTATGAAGAGACTGCAATGAATCAACCACCTGACAAAGAAAAAACAATACTTGACAACAGTTCTTGATATAACAACCCAAACATGTACAACAAGAATGCAGCTTGAATAACTGAGGTGAATAAGAATAAAAAAAGAAGTTGAAATGAAAGTTTGTTTAATAACAGCAGAAATAATAGAGATAAGGGCAAGGAAGATCAAGATTTGACCAGCACCATGTGAAGATGAACTGCATGGGTTTTGGTTGAAGCATCTCACTGGTCTGCACTCACTGATTGCCAAGCAGTTTAACAACATACTACAAGGGGGTGAAACTGAAGATTGGTTAACATTTAGCAAGATCTACGTGATAATGAAAGATCCAACAGAAGGGAAAGAACCAGTCAAGTACAGGCCATTGCCTGCTCACCAGCAACTTTCAAATTCCTACCTTGCTGTGATGGCTGATGCAGTCCAACAGCATCAAGTTGAAAACAAGCTCCTTCCATTTGAGTAGAAAAGAAGCTGCCCAATAGCAGAGGACCAAAAAAAATCAGCCCCTAATTAATGAAATGATTAGGAAAACTGCAAGAGAAGGAAGACCAGCTTGAATATAGTTTGGATTGATTACAAAAAAGTATTTAACTCCCTTGCACATGACTGGAAAATCAAGTGCCTAGAAATAACAATAGAAACGTTAGAAGCTCTGTGCAAAGATTAGTGACATAATGAATGGAAGACAAAATTGTGGGGCAATGATGACAGACTGGAAAAGGTTAATATCAAGAGAGAAATCTTTCAAGAAGACCCTTTCCAAAAACTATAATGAACAATTTGGGCCATGGCTATAAAATATCAAAAGTATCTGCAAACTTATCCCACCTTTACATGGACAATCTGAAACTGTATGGGAAAACACCATTATTTTCAAATAGAATCACTACTCGATATAGAGTTTGAAATGTGCGACCCTTACTAACAATAGCAGAAAAATAGTGAAACTGAAAGAATAATATGTCCTATAATTTGAATAATGGATGTGGCAGTACCTGGAGTTAGCAGAAGAGAAGAGAAAGAACTGAGTAAAATCACAAAACACAAAGACCTACAAATAAAAGAAAGTCTGTGGCAAAAGAAAACAAAGATAGTACCAATGGGTGCCTTGTGTGCAATCCCAAAACATCTGGAACACCATTGGCACTGACAAATTTACATCAGTCAGTTGCAAAAGATAGCTTTACTCAGAACAGCTTATCTCCTGTGATGATACTTTTAACACCATCAAACAATAATATTTGCCTATTCCAGGTCCTTGGGAAAGATGAAATAGGTGGATAAAAATGTCAAATCCAGTATAAGCATCAGGTTCACAGTGCCACCAACCATATAATAATAATATTTTAACTTCAGGAATGAAGTGTAAGAAAATACATCATGGACAAAAATGAATAGGAACAATTAACATATGTTCCTGATTCTGCATATTCAATCATACAGCCCTGGGGTTTTATTTTCTTTGATTTCATATGAGTAGTGATATTTTACATTAGCATCCTGTATTATTGATACTTCAAGAAAAAACTATTTTGAAAATGCAATTGTGAGACAATAGTTAATTTGTTAATCTTTGTTAATCTTAGTTGTTTTTGTTTTGAGAGATATGTTTTTCTCCTGTGGAAAAAAAACCTCTCTCCATGACCAAATCAGCTATTAATTAGATGTGTATTTATTTACTCTATTACCGTATCTCTTCCTTTTACAAACATGATTTCCAAGAAAAAACACTGAAGTCATCCTTTGCGATGCCAGTGTTGCATTATTAAAGGAATACAGTTTAATATGTGTTTCTTTACATTACATGGGTTCTCAAATGAAAGCACTACATTTACAGGAACACGGGGGTGGGTGGGAGAAGGTTCCTTTTATCCCTGAGTTGCATGCAAGGTAGCAGAGCAGCATATCTCCCCAAGCTTTGAGGAAAATGGTATTACCCTGGCATTCAGTAAGAGATGCTGGTTACCTTGTCTGAATGAGCAACTGCTTCACTGCAAAGCACAGCGTGTCTCTTTTGTCTCGGTGTTGGAGATCATTGCTTCTTGAATAGCAGCCTTTTTTTCAGAATGACTATGTACAAGAGCAAGCGAAGACACCAAAGATGTAAGTAGCCTGGATCACTCTCTCTCTCTCTCTCTCTCTCTCTCTCTCTCTCTCTCTCTCTCTCTCTCTCTCTCTCTCTGTGTGTGTGTGTGTGTGTGTGTGTGTGTGAGAGAGAGAGAGAGAGAGAGAGAGAGAGAGAGAGAGCGCACATGAACAGAAGGGAAATGTTTCCTAATTTAAAAACTATGCCTTACTTTCTTGTGTACTGAGATAAGTAGGATTTTCAGAGCTTAGACGCTATAGTGCCAATATTGTTAGGTGAAGGAAAAATCCTAAGAGGAGTAATAAAAAAAAAAAAAAATATGCTCCCTTGTTACTATGGAAACCATCAGCAAGTGATTGCTTTATAAAAGCCACAAGGAAATAGAGATCAAATGCAAGTTCATACTAGTTCAGTGTTCATTATTCAGAACATAATGATTTGGTGGGAATTTTGCCCTTTTAAAAAGGCGGGATAATTTTTTCTTCCCTCTGTTATCTTAACCAAATTGACTTAAGGGTCCTAGAAATGGTAGAAGTTCAAGTGTCCTCATTTTTATGCATTACTTCTGAAGGAAACACACTGAGGCAACGGAAAAAAAGAACTGGATGTACAAATATAAAGAGAGATTAATGTAAATAATTCATTTCATTATCAGTTTGACTTGGTTTGAGATTTTCTTCAAGAAAATAATGCCACAACTAAAAGAGTAGGCTGTATCTGGTTACTTTTGTATATCTGAGTCAAATTCAAGACTGAAACTAATTTTGTGGAAATTAAAGTAAGCAGTGCTATCAATCCATCAAGTTTTGCCATTGACTTTTAAGGAGATGTCCCTTCATCTACTCTCACAGAAATGATGTAACTGAAGTGGGATTGCTTTGTAAATGGTTAAAAAGTAAACAGAAATTTTAGACTGAAAGACAAATAGATGCCAATGCATTATTAATATGTGAGCATCTTCAGTCTAAGAATTTTAATTGTTTATTTTTATAAATGCTTTTCCGGGTAGCAGAAAGTACTTCTGATCATGAAAAAAATGCTCCATTCAACAACAACAAAAGGGGAAATTATGCACTTTTAAAGACCATTAATTTTTTCCACATTGCCAGTGGCGGCTTAAACTTTGAGGCTGGCCACACTGCTGATTCCTGTCTGCTTTGCACTGAATAATACCAAGCTTTTTCTGCAGTATCTATCTTAAAATGTTATGGTACATACGAAGAGAACCTAGATACTGAAAGTTGAATAGAATGAAAACCCTGCAAATACAATTTTGACTTACTTAAATGTTTATTTGGTACCAGAGCTTGATTTTCTTCATTTGCTCGCTTTTAAGAACTAGTTTATTTTGTAAAGAAATAATGGGAATATTGGAAGAAAGCCGTTTAAGACACATTTGGTATCATTGAATCATAATGTTAGATCAATCTTGGCAGAAACATGGCTAATAATATAGAAACTTTAGTAGGGTTTTGTATATGTTCTTGATTTCTGGTTCAAATTTTCTTTCATCTTTCTGGTTGATATTCCTGCTAAACCCACACAATACAAGCTCAAAATTATTTATTTCTTGCTCTTGTCATATATCTTGATACCCACAGATGTTTTGGACTGCAATTCATACAATACTTGACAATGGTGGCTATTATAACTATGTTTATTGGAGCTATATTCTAAAATAACTGGACAGCTATGCTTGGGCAATGAGTGTGTGTACCTGTGAAAATGGAAAGCATTTAGGAACATTTACTAATCACTGGATTCCCTAAATATATTTTAATGTTGGTTGATAACTTCCTGGTTTTTTAATGACTATTAAGTCTAACTTTTTAATATTTCTTGAGATACTTTCTGTATATCTAATAAGATGTGCTTAACATAAATTAATGCTTGTCTGTCATAGTTATTTTCAAAAATGCATTTTATTCACAGCACGTAATAAGATTATGGGAAATGTAGCACTATCTGTTATAGTAAATAATCTAAAGAGATTTGCACAGGAAGCCTGTAAAGAACTGGAAATTACGGTAGTCCATTTTAAAAAATACTTAACTAATTTAATTCAATTAAAAATAGTTAATTAATTAAGAAAATTTGAAATGTGATGATATAATTTTGGCAAGCCAATCCTTTAATTTTCAATGCCACCCACCAATGTAAATGTTCTCACTAGTTTATTCAATAAAAATAGCAAATATAACAGCATGCTGAAATTTAACAGTTAAAATAGTTGGAGTAATAGCAATAAAATTATCACCATTTAAGCATTTCTTTCTGGCATGAAAAAGCAATGCAGACTCCAGGAAGATATCCATGAAAATGGAATTAAATTTTGTCATTGGTAAAATTCTTCTCGTAGCGATCTTTCAAATTAATTAGGGGAACTATTGTAAGTATGAATAAGTCTGGACCCCATAGTTTACAAGGGAAATGTTCCTTAATGTAGATTTTATTCAAACAGTTTACCTTGTGAATATTCTTAGCATTTTTCACATTATTGGAAGATAGTAGCTTTCTTACAGTAATTGTAAAAATTCAGAGGTGACAGCACTGAAAATAGTAAGATATAGCCTATATGTACACCTGCCACAATATGGGGGAGATAAAATTATGATGAGACTATTCTTTGTCATTGAAAATGACCCTCTGAAATTTAGTCTTAGTCTTCTTACTTTTTATATTTAAAAAAAATGCAAACAAATTGTAGCATCTCAGTTTCTGGAAGATTTACAGCTTTATACAATAGAAGATTTTTCTTTACAACTCCATATTACACTTCATGAACATGAGATTATATTTTTATCAAAAACATTATCTAAACTTGTGCTCAACAGATGTTGGTAAATATAAATATCAAAGCTAGAGAGAGGGGGGGAGAAAGAGAGAGAAAGATAAAATTTGTTTGTGCCAGAATTTTCTACCTAAATATCTGCCATATTCTTAATCAAGGCAGCACATGTATCATTGTGGCAGCCTAGTCTGTTTATGTCCACTTTTCTCTTTTTCTCTTTTCCCTCTCCTTATGATTTTTCTTGTCTGAAAGGTAATAGTAGTAGTCAATTTTCTCTTTCACAATTCATCTGAAATTTGGGTGTGGCCACTTTGACAAATCCAAGTATCCTGCTTGGAAGAGCAATGGATTACAACTACATGCCAGTTATTTTGTGCTCAATCAATTTCTATTTCCATAAGTTTATTTGCAAGTAGGATGTAGGATCAAATTTTCCTATACTTTCATAGTATTTAAGATTAAGTTGGGCCAGATGCTTTTCAATATTTGCAAATTCTATGAAATGGTCTCCTGCATTTATTGTTTTGAATAGTATAGTTTCATTAAAGAACTCATTCCCTGTTCGTTTATCCTACTTTAATCATAAATCCTGGATTGCCAAGCCCTTTTTTTTTGCCTAAAACATTAAAATATTCTGATTTTTTCCTCCGCAGCATTAAGAACATTCTGCCAATTTTCTTTACATGTCACAATTTGTGTTTTGCCAAAGGTGAAAATGATGCAGCTGATTTCCTTTTTTAATTTGCTTGCATAGTGCTATTCCATGGAGGAGTGGGGAGAGGGCTATCTGTTATTTATTTTCATATAAAACAGTTTACCTTTGGGGAATTATTTGCTTCACTTTCAGGACATTGTATGGTATGGTACTGTTATAATAAATATATGTTCCTCTTATCTCACCACAGTTATCCATGAGGAGTAGTTTTGGTATAGTTTTTACCATGCTGACTAAGTTTCTGATAGATGAATTTTGGTTTCTAGAATTCCTCAGTCAGCATAGCCATTTCGGCTAATTCTGAGAGTTGCCCATGTTTAGAAGAATTTCTCTAGACAGCTGTGCCAAGAAACAGGTAATGAAGCTTCTGTCCTAAAACTCAATCAAGGCTAGGCTGATAAACCATTCTTAAGTTCTCCAAGGATGTTAAAATTTATGTTGTAGATCGGAACTTATTTGTCAGTTGGGGATTCAAAAGAGTTAAAAAGGGAAGTGAAAGAGTAGGTGGCAATTAGTCAACAGAAGGGCAGAAATCAAAATTCTGTTTTCTTTCTTTTTTCACTTCTTTTCTTATTTCCTATATTTTTCTGTTCATTTTTTATACTTTTACTATCTTAGAAATGCAGTTCTACAATATTTTCAAAATGAATTTGTCAAAGATGCAATCCAGACAATGTGGAAAACTTACAGTAGACATCATGCAAGCCGCTTGAATGCTAGACTCACTGTGTTTTAATACTATTGTTTGCTTCTACTCTAATTTCTACTCTGCCGGATCAGCCCAACATATGTTCGACATTGCAGCTGAAAATTAGGGACTAAAAATGTCAAAAAAAAATCAATAAAAACAATCAGAAACCAAAGTGCACTAATGAAGTTAAAATGGAAAGCTCAGCATTTAGAATCCAAGGTAAAAATTTCTCTATAAGCCAAGTATTCCTATAAATAAAAATATCCTAAATGTTTTTTTTAAGTCCCGGAGAGAACCAAAATTGTAATGCAGTTTTCCAAAAGAAATGAGGGAGCTGTTTACATCTCACATATTTCCTGTATTTTGTATTTCTGATGGTTATCTTTCTTGAAGAAAAGGTAACCGGTAGTAAGAGATAAGCAGTATAACCAGTTATGGTTAGATTTAAGTGCCAAGGAGGGAGATAGAAATTAGCATTTGATATGATTTGAAACCTCCTGCAGTTATTCTCCAATTTGCTACCCTATTTCCCATTTCACATAAAAGACAACTCCAATCTTTTATGCAAATTGGAACTCAACACTTTCAGATTTCATCTATATCCAAGAAAACCAAATATCAGAAAGAGCTAAAAATTTCCAAGATATTTACAAGAGATGAGAAATGCCAGAAGGTGTCATTGTGCTTTATGTATTACATTAATTACAATTGTTATTTTTTCAAGAATAACATTTTAAAGCTATTTCAGGAAATAAAGTCACATTTTAACCATCCAAAAGTAGAGAATTATGAAAGCAGTCAGTCATTAGGAATAAGAGTT